GAACCACTTTGTTCCAGTCTGATCTAATTTAATCCAGTTTTAAACCTGTCTAGATGGTCTGATCCAGTTTGAACCAGTTTTGAACCAGCCTACACTGGTTTGATCCAGTTTGAATCAGTTTGATCCGGTCTCATCCAGTTTAATCCCGTTATTAACGTGTCTACACTGGTTTGATCCAGTTAGAACTATTTTGTTCCAGTCTTATCCAGTCTGACCCAGTTTCATCCAGTTTTGAACCTGTCTACACTGGTTTGATCCTGTTTGAACCAGTTTGATCTGGTCTGATCCAGTTTGTTCTGGTTTTGAGCCTGTCTGCACTGGGTTAATCCAGTATGAACCAGTTTGAATTGGTTTGATCCGGTCTGATCCAGTTTGTTCCAGTTTTGATCCTTTCTACACTGGTTTGACTCAGTTTGAACTTGTTTGATCCAGTTTGATCCACTTTTAAACCAGTCTACATTAGTGTTATGAACTTTGATCCAGTTTTGAAGCGGTCCACACTGGTTTGATTAATTTTGATCCGGTTTTGAACCTGTCTATACTGGTTTGATCCAGATTGATCCAGTTCATTTTGGTTTGATCCAGTTTGATCCAGTTTTGAAGCGGTCTACACTGGTTTGATCTGGTCTGATCCAGTTTGGTCCGGTTATGAACCTGTCTACACTGTTTTCATCCAGTTTGAACTAGTTTGAACCAGTCTGATCCAGTTTGATCTGGTTTTGAACCAGTCTACATGCTTTGATCCAGTTTTAAGAAGTTTAATCCGGTTTTGAAGCAGTCTACACTGGTTTTATCCAGTTTGAACCAGTTTGATCCAGTGTGATCCAGTGTGAACCGGTTTTGATTATGTCTACACTGGTTTGATCCAGTTTGAACCACTTTTGAACAGCTCTTATCTGGTTTATTCTGGTTTTGAAGTAGTCTACACTGGTTTGATCCAGTTTGAACCAGGTTGATCCAGTCTGATGCAGTTGGATCCGGTCTGATCCAGTTTGATCTGGTTTGGAACTGGTCTACACTGCTTTGATCAAGTTTGAATCAGATTGATCTGGTCTGATCCAGTTTGATCCGGTTTTGAACCTGGCTACACTGGTTTGATCCAAGTTGATCCAGTTCATTATGGTTTGATCCAGTTGGATCCAGTTTTGAAGCAGTTTACACGGGTTTGATCTGGTCTAGTGCAGTTTGATCCTGTTTTCAACCTGTCTACACTGGTTTGATTCACTTTGATCCACTTTTGAACAGCTCTGATCCGGTTTGATCTGGTTTTGAACCAGTTTGATCTTGTCCGATACAGTTTGATCAAGTTTTGTACCTGTCTGCACTGGTTTCATCCAGTTTGATCCAGTTTGATATCGTTTGATCCAGTTTTGAACCTGTCTACACTGGCTTGATCCAGTTTGAAACAGTTTGATCTGGTCTGATATAGTTTGATCCGGTCTGATCCAGTTTGATCTGTTTTTGAATCTGTCTACACGGGTTTGATCCAGATTGATCCGATTTTGAACCTGTCTACACTGATTTGATCCGGATTGATCCAATTCATTTTGGTTTGATCCAGTTTGATCCAGTTTGAACCAGTTTGGTCCGGTCTGATCCAGTTTGATCTGGTTTTGAACCGGTCTCCACTGCTTTGATCCAGTTTTAAGAAGTTTAATCCGGTTTTGAAGCAGTCTGCACTAGTTGGATCCAGTTTGAACCAGATTGATCTGGTCTGATGCTGTTTGATCCGGTTTTGAACCGGTCTACACTGCTTTGATCTAGTTGGAACCAGTTTGATCCAGTCTGATCATGTTTGATCAAGTTTTGAACCTGTCTACCCTGGTTTGATCCCGTTTGAAACAGTTTGATCCAGTTTGATCCGGTTTTGAAACTGTCTACACTGGTTTGATCCAGTTTGAACCAGTTTTAAGCAGTTTGATCCGGTCTGATCCAGTTTGATCTGGTTTTGAACCTGTCTACACTGGTTTGACCCAGCTTGAACCAGTTTGATGCGGTCTAATCCAGTTGGATCTGGATTTGAACTGGTCTACACTGGTTTGATCTAGTTTGAACCAGATTTATCTGGTCTGATCCAGTTTGATTTGATCTGATCCAGTCTGATCCGGTTTTTAAACTGGCTATACTGATCCAGTTTGATCCAGTTTGATTTGGTTTGATCCAGTTTGATCCAGTTTTAAACCTGTCTACACTGGTTTGATCCAGATTTATCCTGTTCATTTTGTTTTGATCCAGTTTTGAAGAGGTCTACACTGATTTGATCTGGTCTGAACCAGTTTGGTACGGTTATGAACCTCTCTACACTGTTTTAATTCAGTCTGAACCAGTTTGAACCAGATTGATTCGTTCTGATGCAGTTTGATCAAGTTTTGAACCTGTCTACACTGGTGGGATCCATTTTTAACCAGTTTGGTGCAGTCTGATCCGATTTGATCCAGTTTTGAACCAGTCTACACTGGTTTGATCCTGTTTGAACCAGTTTGGTCCGGTCTGATCCAGTTTGTTCTGGTTTTGAACTAGTCTACACTAGTTTTATCCAGTTTGATCCAGTTTTGAAGCAGTCCACACTGGTTTGATTTAGTTTCATCTGGTTTTGAACCAGTCTACACTGATTTGATCCAGTTTTATCCAGTTTTATTTGGTTTGATCCAATTTGATCCGGTTTTGAACCTGTCTACACTGGTCTGATCCAGTTTGATCCAGTTTGAAACAGATTGATGTTGTCTGATCCAGTTTGATCAGGTTTTGAACATGTCTATACTGGTGTTCCAGTTTGAACCAGTTTGATCCGGTCTGATATAGTTTGATAAAGTTTTGATCCTGTCTACACTGGTTTGATCCAGTTTGATCTGGTCTGTCCCAGTTTGAACCAGATTGATCTGATCTGATCCAGTTTGACCCGGTTTTGAACTGGTCTATACTGGTTTGATGCAGTTTGAACCAGTTTGGTCCGGTCTGATCCAGTGTGATCTGGTTTTGAACCTGTCTGCACTGGGTTAATCCAGTTTGAACCAGTTTGATCTGGTCTGACCCAGTTTGATCCGGTTTTGAAACTGTCTATACTGGTTTGATCCAGTTTAATCCAGTTTGATCCAGTGTGATCCAGTTTGCTCCAGTTTTTAACCTGTGTACACTGGTTTGATCCAGTTTAATCCAGTTTGATCCAGTGTGATCCAGTTTGCTCCAGTTTTTAACCTGTGTACACTGGTTTGATCCAGTTAGAACTACTTTGTTCCGGTCTTATCCGGTCTGACCCAGTTTGTTCCAGTTTTGAACCTGTCTACACTGGTTTGATCCAGTTGATCCACTTTTGAACAGCTCTCATCTGGTTTGATCTGGTTTTGAACCAGTCTACACTGCTTTGATCAGAGTTTTAAGAAGTTTAATCCAGTTTTGAAGCCATCTACACTGGTTTGATCCAGTTTGAACCAGTTTGATCCGGTTCTGAACCTGTCTACACTGGTGTGATCCAGTTTGAACCAGTTTGATCCAGTCTGATCCAGTTTTTTTATGGTTTTGATCCTGTCTACACTGGTTTGATTCAGTTTGAACTTGTTTGATCCAGTTTGATGCACTTTTGAACCAGTCTACACTAGTTTTATCCAGTTTGATCCAGTTTTGAAACGGTCCACACTGGTTTGATCCATTTTGATCTGATTTTGAACCTGTCTATACTGGTTTGATCCAGTTTGATCTGGTTTTGAACTGGTCTACATTGGTTTGATCCAGATTGATCCAGTTTCATCCAGTCTGATATAGTTTGATCTGGTTTTGAACCTGGCTACACTGGTTTGATCCAGTTTGATCTACTTTTGAATAGCTCTGATCCAGTTTTATCTGGTTTTGAACCGGTCTATACTGCTTTGATCCAGTTTTAAGGAGTTTAATCTGGTTTTGAAGCAGTCTACACTTGTTTGATCCAGTTTGAACTTGTTTGATCCAGTTTGATCCGATTTTGAACCTGTCTACACTGATTTGATCCAGGGTTGATCCAGTTTTGAACCTGTCTACACTGGATTGATCCAGTTTGAACCAGTTTGATTCAGTCTGATCTGGTTTTGAAGCAGTCTACACTGGTTTCATCCAGTTTTAACCAGTTTTATCCAATTTGATCCAGTTTGATCCGGTTTTGAAGCGGTCCACACTGGTTTGATCCAGTTTGATCCGGTTTTGAACCTGTCTACACCGATTTGATCCTGTTTGAACCAGTTATATCCAGTCTGATTCAGTTTGATCCGGTTTTGAAACTGTCTACACTGGTTTGATCCTGTTTAAACCAGTTATATCCAGTCTGATCCAGTTTGATCTGGTTTTGATCCTGTCTACACTTGTTTGATCCAGTTTGAACCCATTTGATGCGGTTTGATCCAGTTTGATTTGGTTTGATCAAGATTGATCCGGTTTTGAAGCTGTCTACACTGGTTTAATCCATATATATATATTAAGTAATTAATTAATGGGAGAACAAATTTATAATAAAAATCATTGTAAAAAAGCAAACTCAAGATAAATAAATGAATTCATAACAAAGTAAATTTGTGACGAATAAGTAAATTCATAATGAATAAATTTATACCGAATAAATACATAGCAAATAAATGAATAACTGGATAAATAATAACTACATGACAAATCCACCATAAATAAATGAAATTATTAAATGAATAATAATAAATAAATAATAAATAAATAAATTTATTAAATAAATAGATAATAATTAAATGAATGAATGGATGGATTAATAACAAATTAGTCAGTAAATTAATAGGTAAACAAATTCACAATAAATAAAATCGACCGAAAGAAACAAACTTGAGATAAATAAACGAATTCACAATAAAATAAACCCATGACAAGTTCAAGATGAATAAATTCATAATAGATAAATCTATACTAAATAAATGAATAAATGAATTAATTAATAATAAACCCACGACAAACAAATCTACAATAAATAAAATCCACCATAAATAAAGAGTCGAGCAAACAACAATCAGGAACGCGAGGATTTATTTCCCCCCCCCAACTTCTGATGAATCGAGGACTCGAACTCGGGTCGCAGTGGGGGGGGGGGGGTAGCCAGGGGTCAGAGGTCACCCGGACACAGGTCACGGGGTCGTCACATAGTCCCTGACGTCACGGGGGGGTGAAAGGGAGGGGGCGCAGGTCATAGGTCGATCCCAGGATTCTCCACGGCAGCCAGAAGTGGGCGGGGCCTGGAGGAAGGGGGGGGCGGGACAGGGAGGTGATTGGCAGCCGGGAAAGAGGACAAGGAGGGGCGGGGCCCCGGGGATGAATGACTGACGCAAACCCGTCCCACGGCGATGACGTCACACGGGGTCGGAGGTCGCCCCCAGCAGCCCCTGCAGCTCGCGGCAGAACCGGTTCAGCGGGAAGCCAGCGGCGCCCAGGAAGTCGCCCTCCGCGCGCTCCACCAGTGCTGCGCCCAGCGCCTGCAGCGCGTACCCGCCGGCCTTGTCCCTGTGGGCGGGGCGGGGAAAGGGGCGGGGCCCCGTCAGGGAGACACGCCCACCAGCGGGGACACGCCCACTTCCCCTTTAAGTGCTTTAAGGACCTCTCCACACCCCGCCCCCGCCTCCGCAGTGACGTCACATGCCCCGCCCCTGCAGGCCCCGCCCCCCGCAGCTCACATGGGCTCCCCGCTGTCCACGTAGTCACGCATCAGCTCCTCCGTCAGCTCCGAGAACGTCACCCGCGTCTCCTCGTGGAACAGCGAGGCCACTTCCGGGTCGGGGGGCGGGGCCACGGTGTCACTTCCGGGTTCGGGGGTAGGGGAGAGGACGATGGCCACGGCCGTGATGACGCTGTGCTGGCGCCCGCTCAGCCTGCGGGGTGACGAGGGGGTCACACAGGGGTCACAAGGGGGTCAGACAAAGGTCACGAGCCCCCTTTACCCCAGGCCCCGCCCCCTGCCCCGCCCCTAAATCCCCAGGCCCTCCCCTCTCCCCAGAAACCGCCCACCTCTCCCCAGGCCCCTCCCCTCTCACAAGACCCCACCCACTCTCCCCGGCACTCCCCACCCCCAAGGCACCACGCCTGTCCCCAGGCCCCGCCCCCTTTATCTCCAGGCCCCTCCTCTCTCCCCAGACCCCTCCCTGTCCCCAGGCCCCGCCCCCTTTATCTCCAGGCCCCTCCTCTCTGCCCAGACCCCGCCCCTGTCCCCAGGCCCCGCCCCCTTTATCTCCAGGCCCCTCCTCTCTCCCCAGACCCCTCCCCTGTCCTCAGACCCCGCCCCCCTGTCCAGGCACCTCCCCATATCCCCAGGTCCCGCCCCCTATCCCCAAGCCCCGCCCCTTCAATCCCAAGGCCCCTCCCCTGTCCTCAGACCCCGCCCCCCTTTCCAGGTCCCTCCCCATATCCCCAGGTCCCGCCCCCTATCCCCAAGCCCCGCCCCTTCAATCCCAAGGCCCCTCCCCTCTCCCCAGACCCCGCCCCCTTTCCAGGCCCCTCCCCTCTCCCCAGGCCCCGCCCCCTGCTCCCAGACCCCACCCACATGCGCAGCATCCGCATGGCGTCCTCCTTATCCTCTGGCTTCTCCAGGATCTCCTGGTCCACGGCCTGGGGGGAGGAAGAGGGGGCAGGGCCGACGTGAGGGGCGGGGCCAACAGGCGTAAGTGCGTGGTCACGGCGAGGGGCGTGGTCGCCGTGGGTGGGGCGGGGTCTCTGTCCTCACCACCACGGTGTCGGCTCCAATGACGACATCCGGGGCCCGCTGGTCTTTCTGCGGGGGCGGGGGGCGAAAAGGGAGAAATGACGTAAGTGGGCGGGACCCAGGTTTGACGGACAGCCGCGAGGGCCAATGGCCCCCGCCCCTCGCTCACCGCGCGCAGGCGCAGCGCCACCTCCAGCGCCTTCCGCCGCGCGTTTTCGCGGGCGTAGTCGTGCGGGGTCGCGAATGCCGCGGGGTCCAGCGTCTCGGGGAACCGGGAGGGCACGACCTCGAACCGGAGACCCTGCGGGGTCAGGGGTGAGAGGTCAGGGTCACGGCCAAGCCCCGCTCGTGCCCGCGCAAGCCCTGAACCCGCCCCGGAAGCGGTCACCGTGTAGCCCAGGATGTCCCGCCTCCTCGGGGACGCGCTCGCCAGCACCACCCGCCGCCCGCGGAGCCGCCGCAGCACCGGGGTGAGCGCCATGGCCCGCGTCTGGACGTCACTTCCGGTGCGCGCATCCGGGTCCCTCCCCGCTGCCGTTCGTTCGTACGGACGAACGCGATAGGGCAGGTGCGGAGGAAAACATGGCGGCCCCCATCGGGAGAAACTTCCTTAGGATTTCTGCCGTACAGCCGGGGAATGCCTTGTGAAAACATGGCGTCCCGCACAGCGGAAATCCGGTTCGGAGACGGAGCTTCCGTACGGATCGGCGCGCGCGGTTCCCGAGCCCACCCTTGGAATGTTTCCGTACAGCCGGGGATTACCGTGAAAACATGGCGGCCCGCACAGCGGAAATCCGGTTCGGAGACGGAACTTCAGTACAGAGCAGAGCGCGAGGTTCCCCATCCCTTGGCGGCCGCCGTATAGACGGGGAATACGCCGCAAGCATGGCGGCCCCCATAGGGGAAATCCGGTTTGGAGACGGAGCTTCCGTACAGATCGAAGCGCGCGTTTCCCGATCCCGTTGCTGCTGCCGTACAGCCGGGGATTACGGTGCAAACATGGCGGCGCCCACAGGGGAAGTTCCATACGGAGGAGAGCGCGCAGTTCCCGACACTCTCTTGGAAGCCGCCGTACCGGCGGGGAGTTCGGAGAAGACCCGGCGGACCCGTAACTTTAATTTCGGTCTGCCGGAAAGCTTCCGGGTCATAGGGCGCGCGTCCCGCGGTCCTCGGTAAACACCGCTAAGCGCCGTTCTCGCGGCGGGGCCCGATTCACCCCGGAACCAAAGGGCCAGGCCCTCACCGGCCAAGGAACATCCGGCGGAAGCGGACCCGAGCGGCTCGGCGTTCCCGAGGCGGACGTTTATTTCAGCGGGTCCGGCCGGAACCGGATGTCCGGCTGGCGGAACTTTTTTTTCCGCGCTCACGAAAGCGTTTCCTGCGTCTTGCGGTCCTTTTTTTTTTTTTTTTCGGGTACGGAAGCGCAACTAAGTTCGTCGTCCGCCGGCCCTCTTTTCCCGAGTCCTTTGTTCCGCAGATCTTCTTCGCGCGTTCCTCGGACGGTGGGTATTTTTTTTTTTCGGAAGTGCAAAAGCGCGTCCGTCAGCCCGCGGAACGTTTCCGGCGAGTCCTGCTGCAGGAGGAATTTTTTTCGTGCACCCGGAAGCGGGATCAGGTCCTAGGCCGGCGGTATTTTTTTCGCGCGCACGGAATCTCCTTCCGGGTAATGCCGAACTTTTTCGCGCGCCCGGAGGCGGAACAGGGTCCCTCATCCTCTGTTACTTTTCTTACGCTCTCTAACCCGCGTCGCTGACCCGGCGGAACTTTTTTCGCGCACCCGGAAGCAGAACCGAGGTCCTAGGCCGGAAGTACTTTCTTCACACTTCCGGAACCGCAAGGCTCAACACGCGGAACTTTTGTCGCGCGCCCGGAACGGCGGCCTTGAACGGGCGGGAGTTTTTATACGCGTCCGGAGGCGGAAGTGCGTCCATCATCCTCCGTTACTTTTCTCGCGCGCCCGTAACCGCGGCGCTGACCGTGGGGAACCTTTCTCGCGCGCCCGCCCGGAGGCGGAAGTGCGTCAGTGGTGTCCGGGCAGCCGGCGGGCAGCGTCGCGAGCGGACGGAGCGGCGGCCACAGCGGAGGCCGCGGACGGGGTCGGAGGCGGAAGCGGAGCCCGGACGGTGAGTGCGGATCCGGAAGTCGGCCAATCGCCGCGGGGCCCGGATCGAACCGGTTCGGGGCGGATTCGGGCGGAGGACGGGGACGGAGGGGAGGGGAAGAGAGTGGGGCCTGGGTGAGGGGCGGAGGGGGAAGTTGGTGAGGGGCGGGGCGAGAGCGAGACTCCCCGGAGGGGCGGGGCTTACACGGGTGGGGCGGGGCTACTGGCTAGGACGGGGAAGAGGATTGGCCAGGTTGGTGGGGAGGGCGGGGCTCTTGTACGGGGGTGGGGATTGGCTAGCAGGGCGGAGCCAGAGGGCAGAATGGGGGTGTGGCCTTCGTATGGGCGGGGCCAAGCGGCCGGGCAGACAAAGGTGAGGGCGGGGCCAGAGGATAGAAGGGTTGGGGAATGGCCAGGATGGTAGTGGGCGTGGCTTGTGTGGGGATTGGCCAGGACGGTGGAGGGGGCGGAGCCAGGATGGTAGTGGGTGTGGCTTGTGTGAAGGGCAGCATTGAGGGCGGGGCTTTACCGGAGGTGGGCGGGGCTGGCACCCGAAGGGGCGGAGCTACAGCTCAAGGCGTGCACAGGGATTGCTCCTGGGGACGTGGTGGGCAATGCCACAAATCAGGACAGGGATTGAATGGACAGGAGGTGGGCGGGGCTGATACCCGAAGGGGCGGAGCCACAGGACGGGGATTGGTCCGGGTAACATGGTGGGTGGAGCCACAGCTCAGGACTGGCCGGACGGCAGCTGGAAGGTGGGCGTTTCCCTCGCCGCCAGCCCCGCCCCCTCACTGCCAGCCCCGCCCCTTCCCCCCCCACCCGCAGCCGCCATGGCCGCCACCATCGTGCACGACCCGTCGGAGGCGGCGCCACTGTGCCCGGCGCTCGGCCTCTACCTGAAGCCGATCACGAAGCTGGCGATCAGCGTGGCGCTGCCGCCGCTGCGGCCTCCAGGGAAGTCGATCTCGAACTGGGAGGTGATGGAGCGGCTGAAGGCCATGGCCGCGGGGGCGGGGCCGGGGGCGGAGCCCGAGGCTGCGGCGGGAGCAGGGGGCGGGGCCGGGGGCGGGGCCAAGCACGCGGCCTTCTCCTCGCTGCGCATCGCCAAGAGCACGCTGGACTTCATCCGCTTCGAGGGCGAGGTGGAGCAGCGGGCGCTGGTGCGGCCCATCCTGGCGCGGCTCGACGGCCGGACCATCAAGCTCGGCGGCTTCGCCGACCCGCTCCGCGTGCGCGCCGCCGAGTTCCGCCCCGACGCCCCGTCCCGCCACGACTGGGACGCCTTCTTCCGCGACGCCCGCGACATGGACGAGGCCCGGCCCGGAGAGAGGCCCGACACCATCCACCTCGAGGGGCTGCCCTGCCGCTGGTTCGCGCCCCGCGGCGGGGTCGGCGGCGGCGGTGGCGAAGCTGCTTCCGCCAGCACTTCCACCAGTTCCGCCAGTACTTCCGCCAGTACTTCCTCCCGCGGTGAAGCCACTTCCGCCAGCATTTCTGCCAGTACTTCCGCCGCGACCCCGTCCCCGGACCGGCCCAGCGAGGCGCTGCTGCGCCAGGCGTTCGCGGCCTTCGGCGAGATCCGCCAGGTGGACATCCCCATGCTGGACCCGTACCGCGAGGACGCGTCGGGCCGCGGCGGCTTCCACACGTTCGGCTGGGGCGGCGGCAGCGGCGTTGGAGGCGGCGGCGTGGGAGGCGTGGGCGGCGTGGGAGGGCTGCACTTCGAGGCCTACGTGCAGTACCGCGAGTACGCGGGCTTCGTGCGCGCCATGGCGGCACTGCGGGGCGTGAAACTCATGTTCAAGGGCGAGGACGGCAAGGCCGTGGCCTGCGGCATCAAGGTACGGGGACGCGGCGGCGGGGGGCGGGGCCGCGGGGGGCTCGGGTTCGAGGTGATGTCGGGGAGGGCGCGGGGCATTGGGCTCGGGTTCGAGATGACGTCATCGTGGGGCTTGGGTTCGAGGGCATGTCTGTCGAGGACGTGATTTTTGGCGGGAAAACGGCGAGGGCGCCACGGTGATGTAATGGTGGGCCGAGTCAGGGCAATGACATCACCTTGCCCCCGGGGCCATGGGGGTGATGTCATCATGGGGTGATGTCGTGGGGCTCGCGTTCGAGAACATGTCTCTCGCTGCAGCCGACGTGATTTTTGGTGGGAAACGGCGGCGGCGCCGCGGTGACGGGACGGTGGGCAGGGTCGGGGCGATGACGTCACCCCGCGGCCCCGCCCCCCCCTCAGGTCTCATTCGACGCCACCAAGCACCTGAGCGAGGCCTCGATCCGGCGGCGGCAGCTGGAGCGGCAGAAGCTGCAGGAGCTGGAGCTGCAGCGCGAGGAGCAGAAGCGGCGGGAGCGTGAGGCGGAGGAGCGGCGGCGGGCGGAGGAGCGGTGAGGGGGCGGGGCTTGGCGGGGTCACGGGGGACGGGGAAAAGAGGACTTTGCCTTGGCTCCTGGTGGTGATCCCAGGGGGCTCATGCATATGCATATCCCGGCATGCAAATTAGGTCCCAGCCGCTCACGAATATGCAAATCGCAGCATGCAAATTACCCCCGTGACATGAATATGCAAAGGAGGCTCTGCTCCGTGCTGCATGAATATGCAAATCGCCTGTGATATGAATATGCAAATGAGACTCGTGAATATGCGGCTTGCTGTGTGCAAGCGGTCCTTGCCACTCTCGCCATGCAAATGAGGCCCTAGCAACTTGTGAATATGCAAATTATATCATTAGATTCTCCCATTGCGTGCATATGCAAATGAGGCTTTGGCCACTCGGGCGTGTGCAACTTGTAGTATGCAAATGAGCCATGCTACGTGATTATGCAAATCCCACCATTCAGACGAGGCCCTGGCAAATCGTGAATATGCAGATCGCAGCATGCAAATCACCCTCACTGCATGAGCATGCAAATTAGGCTGTGCCAGCTGTGCGTATGCAAATGGTGCTCATGAATATGCATCTTGTGGTATGCAAACGATCCTTGCCACTTGAACTTGCAACTCTGCCATGCAAATGAGATCCTGGCCGCTCATGAATATGCAAATCACAACATGGATATGTCTCAGCATGCAAACAAGGCCCTGGCCACTTGTGAATATGCAAACCAGTCCATGAATATGCAAATTGGTGCAGGTCAGGTATGGTTATGCAGGTCGCATGCAGATCCCAAGCCTTCCTGGTGGGCCCACGCAGAGGATTCTGGGAAATGTAGTCCACAGGACCCAGACTCCCCGCCCCGAGGCCCCGGCCCCTATGACATCATCCTGACCCCGACCCCCCCGCGACCCCGCAGGAAGCAGAAGCAGCTGGAGCAGCAGCAGCGCGAGCGCCGCCGGGAGGAGAAGCTGCGCAGGCGCGAGCAGCGGGCGCGGGACCGGGAGCAGCGGCGCAGCCGACGGCGGGCAGAGAAGCTGCAGGCCGAGGAGCAGCGGCGGCTGCAGGAGAAAATCCGCACGGAGGAGCGGAAGCTGCTGCTCGCCCAGCGCAACCTGCAGTCGATCCGGCTGGTGGCCGAGCTGCTGGGCCGCGTGGAGGTGCGTGGGGGGGCGCGCGTGCGAGATGCGTGTGTGCGTGACACGTGTGCGTGTGTCATATGCGTGTGAGTAGTGTGTGCGTATGTTTGACACATCTGTGTGTGATATGTGTTAGTGTATGCATGACATGCATGCGTGTGGTATGCGTGAGTGTGTGTGCACGTGTGCACATGCGTGAGGGTCTGTGCGCATACGTGGGAGTGTCTATGTGTGTAAGTCTGCGCGTGAGTGCAGCACACGTGTAAGGCATGTGCACGTGGGTAATGTTTCTATGTACATGTGAGTGCACACGTATGGGCTTCTACGTGATTATGCGCGTGCGTGTGACACGTATGTAACGTGTGTCAGATTGTGCACATGTGTGATATGCGTGTAACTGAGTGTGCATGACATGTATGTAATGTGTGTGCATGTGTGAACACGTGTGTCCGTGCGTGTGACACCCGATCCTCTGCGCGTGTTCCATGTGCGGCTGTCCCGTGTGCGTGCGCGCGAGTCGTAGTTCATGTATCGCGTGTACGTGTGTCTCGTGCACGCGTGTGTCCAATGTAGCACGTCACACGTGACCGCGTGCTGCCTCACGTCTTCTGTTCGCGTGTGCGCTCACGCCCGTGTCACACGCGACACACGTGTGCACTCACCTCACACTCATGCGCGTGTGTCCCCCCCACAGGCCGCGAAGCTGCAGCAGCGCGAGCGTAGCGAGGAGCGGCGTCGCCGGCAGCGGCAGGAGGAGCGGCGCCGCCTGCAGGAGGCCGAGCTGCGCCGCGTGGAGGAGGAGAAGGCGCGGGCGCTGGGGCTGCAGCGGCGCGAGCGGGAGCTGCGCCAGCGCCTGCTCTCCCTGCTGCTCAGCCGACGTCCGGCCGCTGCCGCCTCGAACCCGGACCCTGCCACCGACCCCGCGACAACCCCGGGCGACACCACCGCCACCGACGACCTGCTGCGGCCCGTGCTCGACATCCTGCACCGCGTGACCCACCACGTGCGGGCGCAGCCGCCGATGCAGCAGACGCAGCGTGACTCGCACCAAGACCCCAAGGACCCCGCAGCGGCGACGGCGCCCGTGCCGCAGGTGCTGGCCTGCATCCGCGAGAACGCGCCGGCGACCAAGGAGCCTCCGCCGCCCCCACCGCCACCGCCGCCGCCACGCGACCGCGACGACCACAACAAGTGCAACCGTGAGCCGGGGCCCCCGCGGGACGGCGAGGACGACGACCGCGATCGGCGGGAGGGGCGCTCGCATAGCCATGGCGGCGGCGGGGAGCGGCCACGGCAGCACCGAAAGCGCGCGCGCGTGGATGGCGGCGGCGCCGGCGAGGACGCGGAGGAGGACTCGGAGGACGACAACGGCGCGCGGGTCCCGGGGCGCGAGTGCGAGTCACGCCGGCGGCGGCGGCGCCGCGAGAAGGACAAGGAGCGCGGCAGCAGCCGGGAGCGGAAGCGCAGCCGCCACGGGCGCCACTCGCGGTCCCGGTCGCCTCCGCCGCGGAGACGCAGCGCGTGGAACCGGTGAGCGCGCGGACGGACAGACGGCCGCGGTGCATGCTGGGAAGACGCCGCTGGCGCCCGCAGATCGGATTTTTTTTTCTCCCCCCTCCCCCGATCGCGGTTCCGCTTTTTTTTTTCCTCCCCTGGCACGAGTGCGAATCCGCCACGCGGACTCCGGTGTGGGCGGGGAAACCCCGGGTGTCGTCGCGTGACCGACCGCGTGTGCTTTCTGTGTTTAATAAAATCTTTTGCCCGGCGTCCGCTGTGTGGTCTCTGCCCGGGGTCCGGGTGCTGGGTCGTCCTGGTGCTAGGTTGGCTGGGTGCTGGGTGCTGAGTCATCTGGGTGCTTGGTGCAGGGTGATCCAGGTGCAGTGTGCTGTAGGTGCTGGGTCGTCCTGGTGCTAGGTCTGAGTGATCTGGGTACCAGGTAAAGAGGGTGCTGGGTGCTAGGTCATCCAGGTGCTGGGTCACCGAGTTGCCGTGTCTGCTGTGTGCCAGGCGCCCCGGGTGCTGCGCTCAGTCCCTCCCCCGCCAACTCCCCCGCCCACGCCCGGCCGTAACCGGCTCCGGCCGGCTCATCCCGGATTGACCCAGTTCCCAGCACCCGGGGGTGGAAGATGGCGGAGGCCACGCAGGGGAACCCGGAGGACGGGGATTTCCAGCTCCTCATGGACTACGCGCACGGCTTCATGGTCTCGCAGGTGGGTGCTGCGCTCAGTCCTCCCCGGGGTGCTGGGCTGAGTTGACCCGGAGCGCTGAGTCTTTCTCCCCCCAGGTGCTGTGCACGCAGTTCCCTGGGTGCTAGGCTTAGTCCCTGGCTCCTGTGTCCTGTACTGAATCCCCCTGGGTGCTATGCTTGGTCCTCCTCTGGGTGCTGCACTGAGTTCCCCTCATAAGAGTCAGGTGCTGGGTACTGAGTTCCCCCCCGGGTGCTGTACTGAGTTTGCCTGGGTACTGTGCTCAGTCCTCCCGGGTGCTGCTCTGAGTCCCTTGAGACTAAGGTGCTGGGTGCTGAGTCCCCCTGGGTGCTGTACTGAGTTTGCCTGGGTGCTGGGTGCTTAATACTCCAAGTGCTGCACTCGGTCCCCCTCGGGTGCTGAGCCGAATCCCCTGAGGGTAGGGTGCTAGGTGCTGAGTCCCCTTGTCCTGTACCGAGTCCCCCAGGTGTTGTGCTCAGTCCCCCTGGGTGCTGTACTGAGTCACCCCTGGGTGCTGCGCTCAGTCTCCCCCCCTGCCCCACCAGGTCCTCTTCACGGCCTCTGACCTCGGCCTGTTCGAGGCCCTGGCCCCGGGTCCCCTGGATGCCGCTGCGGTCGCCCGGGCCCTGGGTTCGAGTCCTCGCGGGACGCGGCTGCTGCTGGACACCTGCGCGGGGCTGGGGCTCGTGAGCGCGGAGGAGGACGGTGGGGGAGGAGGTGATGACATCATAAGGGGGCGGGGCCTGTGGCGGTGATGTCATGGGGCGGGCATCGGGGAGGGCGATGACATCATAGGGGCTGGGCCTGAGAAGTGGTGACGTCACAGGGGCGGGGCATTGGGGAGGTGACATCATAGGGGGTGGGGCCTGGGAGAGGGCGACGTCATCGTCCTCCCTGGCCCCGCCCTTTCTCGGCCCCGTGCATATGACATCATCCTCTCCCCTGTGACGTCGCCCTCACCAGAGGCCACGCCCCCTATGACGTTGCCCTCACCAGAGGCCCCGCCCCCTTCCCCGCAGGCCCCGCCTTCTCCCTCACGCGTCTCTCGCGCCTCTTCCTGCTGGCGGGCAGCCCCCTGTCTCAGCGCTCGATGCTGCGCTACCTGGCGGGGACGACGGCGCGGTGCTGGGGCGAGCTGGGCGGGGCCGTGCGGTAGGGGCGGGGCCTGCGGTAGGGGGCGGGGCCCGCAGTAGGGGCGGGGCCTGGGGTAGGGGCGGGGCCTACGGGCCTGCCTGCGAACGGAGTACCGAGTCCTCCTCCCATCATCCTCTGGGCCTCCCCCGGCCCCGCCCACCCCCTCGACCCCGCCCACAGGGAGGGGCGGAGCCAGTACGCGCGAGCCGTTGGCGTGGCCACGCGGGAGCCGTTCGAGGCCATTTACAGGTGACGTCGTCTTTGGGCCTGTCAATCACCCCTGTGTCCCCGCCCTCCCTCCTGTCAATCACCCATGTGTCCCCGCCCTCCTCCCACGAGGCCCCGCCCACCCCTCACCCGCCAGGGCCCCATAGTCCTCTCTGTCTCTACTTCCTGTCCCGGGCGCCTGGGATGCTGGGAAACGGAGTCTTAGTCAGCCACTTCCTGCCGCTGACGCATGGCATTCTGGGAAATGTAGTCTCCCACAACCACTTCCTGTACTACACAGCCACTTCCTGCCGCTGACGCACGGCACCATGGGAAATGTAGTCCCATAGAACCACTTCCTGTCCCACACAGCCACTTCCTGTCACTGATGCATGGCACCCTGGGAAGTGTAGTCTCCCATAGCCACTTCCTGTCCTACACAGCCACTTCCTTTCCCTGATGCAAGGGACCCTGGGAAATGTAGTCCCATAGAGCCAGGACCCAGAAGCCCACTTCTAATCCACCCCCCTCACCCTGGCCCCGCCCCCAGGTCCCACGCCGAGCGCCTGCTCTTCATGCGCGCACTGCAGGACACCTGGAGCGTCTATGGCGCCCGCGTGCTCACGGCCTTCGACCTCTCGGAGTTCAGGGTCATCTGCGACGTCGGCGGTGAGGCCCAGCCCCGGGTGCTGCGCTGAGTCCTCCTCTCTCCCCCGGGTGCTGCGCTGAGTCCTCTCTTTTCCTGGGTGCTGCGCTGAGTCCCCTGTTCCACAGGCGGCTCCGGGGCCCTGGCCGCGGCCTGCGCCCGCCTCTACCCCGCCAGCTCGGTGTCCGTGTTCGACGTCCCGGACGTCGCCGCCGCCGCCCGCGCCCACTTCCGGCGCCCACGAGGGGACCCGGCAGTCCGCTTCCTGGGAGGTGGGCGAGGGGGCGGGGACTTCCTGTTCCCGACCAGGCACTTCCTGTTCCTGACGGGGGGGGGGGGGCCCTTCCTGTGTCCGGTGGGTGTTGCCTGGGGCAGGGAAAATCGGGTCACAGAGGTTACAGGGTGACCCAGGGGTCATAGGGTACACACAGGTCAACCCAATGTCAGCACTTCCTGTTCCTGTCCGGTGTGCGGGACCCCCGGTCCCCGCTGCCTATCAATCACACACCGGGAATGGGAACTCCCGCCCCCTTGACCCGTAAGTCCCGCCCCCAACCCCACTGACCAGCGATGACCCCGCCCCCTGACCCCGATGACCCCGCTGACGACCCCCAGGCGACTTCTTCCGGTCCCCGCTCCCGCGCGCCGACCTCTACGTCCTGGCCCGGGTCCTGCACGACTGGACGGACGCGGACGCCGCGCGGCTGCTGGCGAGGATCGGGCGCGCGGGCGGACGGGGTCAGCGGTGGGGTCGGGTGGGGGTCGCGGGGTGACCCGGGGGTCGTGGGGGGCACAGAGGTCACAGGGGTCACACAGGAGTAAGAGTTCAGACAAGGGTCACGGAATTCATGGGGTCACTGAGGTCACCCCTGGTTCACAGAGTTCGCCAAGAGATCACAGGGGTCACCCAGAGGTCACCCAGAGGTCACGGTTACACAGGGGTCACCCAGAGGTCACAGAGACACAGAGGTCACCCAAGGTCACGGGGGCACAGGGTCAACCACAGGTCACCCAGAGGTCACGGGGTCACCCCGCCCCGCCTCCACCCAGGCTCCGCCCTGCTCCTGGTCGAGGCCGTGCTGACCCCCGGGGGCCGCGGCCCGGCGCGCGCACTGCTGATGTCGCTGACGATGCTGCTGCAGACGCGCGGCCGCGAGCGCACGGAGGCCGAGTTCCGCGCCATGGCCGCCGCCGCCGGCTTCGCCCGCTTCCAGCGCCGGCCTACCGGGGGCGACCTCGAGGTCATGCTGGCCAGGAAGTGAGGTCGTCGGGGCTGGGTCAGGGCGGGCGGGGCCAATAAAGCGACTTCCTCTGTGTGTGTGAGGACCCACTTCCTGTCCACCCTTGTTCCCCACTTCCTGTCCACGGCCTCAGAGAATGCTGGGAAATGGAGTCTTGGGTGCCCACTTCCTGTCTCACAGAGCCACTTCCTGCCACTGACACACAGGATGCTGGGAAACGCAGTCCCACACAGCCAGGCCATGAAAACCCACTTCCTGTCACCACAGCATTGCATTCTGGGAAATGTAGTCCCACCAGTCCCGCTTCCTGCCACTGCCGCATGGGACCCTGGGAAACGTAGTCCCATCGAGCCAGGGCCTAGGAAGACACTTCCTGTCACCACCGCACAGCTTTCTGGGAAACGTAGTCCCATGGAGCGAGGTCGTCATGGCGATGACCCCGCCCCTCAGACAGAAAGTGTCCAAAGACAGGAAGTGGGTGCCCTCCCGCCCCCACAGAGGCAGGAAGTGCACAGGATGACACCGCCCACCCACCGCCTGCCAGTCACGTGATACCTGACGGGTGGGGATCCCGGCTCAGATGATTGACAGCCACGCACACTGGGCTCAAAAATACCTTTTTCCTTTATTGGCGGGCAGGCGGGCGATGTCCCCGGGCCCCGCCCCCTCCGCGGGCGGGCGACGTCAATTCCTGTGACGTCATCGGGGGACGGGGGCCGCGGGGGAGGGGAAATCTCTCTACATGGTAGAAAATGGAGTCACGTGACGGATGGCGTCAGGCGGGGGCGAGCGGAGGGGGCGGGGCCTCCGCGCGGGAGCCCCACCTCTGGCGACGTCATCACGCGGGGGGAGGGGGGAGTAGGAGGCACGTGGCGCGGAATGGCTGGAGGCAGCGAGGTTGGCGTCCCCGCGGTGATGTCATCGGGCGGTGATGTCATCGGGCGGTGATGTCATCAGGCGGTGATGTCATCGGGAGGTGATGTCATCCTTCGGGGCCCCCTTGCGCCGAGGCGTCGGAAACCCCGGGGCCGAGGGCGTCCATGGCGGGGCCTGTGGGGAGAGGGGACGGGGCCGGGTCAGTAAGGGCGGGGATATGCAAATTAACAACGGGGGGGGGGATGAGGGGAGAATTGAAAATTTAGAAAAATTTACAAATTTAAAAATTTTTTCTTCAACTCAAGGAAAAAACCGGAAATGCAGATTCCGCTAAACGTATGCAAACTTATGTAAATTCGTGCGCAGATGCAAATTAGCCCGACTCGCTTATTAATGAGGTTAAAAAAAATCTGGCAAAAAAAAATTTCAGAAATTTTTTAAAAAAATATTGAGTCGAGTCCCAATTCTCCCGGTTCCTTTGAATATTTAAATTTCCCAGCCCCGCCCCGCAGCCCTGGGTTCGAGTCCTGCCCCCGCCCGCTCCCAATGGATTTCAAATTTTTCCGTCAGGGTTCGCTGTGACGTCACGGGAATCCGCCTCCGCCATCTTTCCTCAGTTTTCCTGTTTCACCATCGCAGAGTCAGTCAACAAACGCAGAGTCAGGAACGGGATGGGGTCGGGGCCAGGGGTCACGGGAGGTCATGCGAAGGTCGCAGGGTCATGATGGGGGGTCAGGGGTCGCTCTGGCGTCACAGCCGCAGCCATCTTTTCACCGATGTCTCCCTTTTACCATCGTGAAGTAGGTCAATGCAGCAGAGGAAGTCAGGGATCGGCCTGGGTCACGGGGAGGTCAGGGAGGGGTCATGGGGTCACGCAAGGAGTTCAAGGGACGCGCTGACCCTGCCACCATGTTTCTTGATTTTAATTTTTTTTTTAACGATCGCATAGTCAGTCAACATAAAAATCAAGAATCAACGGGGGCAAGGAGGGGCTTCCAGGGAGGTCAGGGAGAGGTCATGGGGAGGTCGAAGGGTCACGAGGGGGTCAGGGGTCGCTCTGACGTCACAGGCACGCCTCCCGACGCCCTGTTTCCGGTTTCTAACATTTTTACCATCGTGAAGTCAATCAACAAACAGGAGATAGGAACCAATGATGGACGTGCAGGGGCGGGTACAGGGGGGTCAGGCAGGGGTCACGGGGAGGTCAGGGGGTCACAGGGGAGGTCAGGGGTTCACGGTGGAGGGTCAGGTCAGGTGGCCGCGAAGGCGTCACGTTTCCCCGCCGGTCACGTCTTTTACCATCGTGAAGTCAATCAACAAACGCGGATTTTTTTTTTTTCTCCTCTCCGTCCTCACCCGCGGGCGGCGAGGGGCGGGGGGCGGGGCGGGTCGTGACGTCACGGGGCGGCGCCGACGTCAGAGGCCGTGGTCGCAGTCCACGTCGCGGCAGATGTACCAGAGGATGACGTAGAGGATGAGGAGGATGGCGAAGATGAAGAGCGCGACCAGCAGCGCCTTGGTCACCGGCGACACCAGCGACTGCATCGTGACGTCACCGCGGCGCGACCCCCGGCGGCCGCGCGGTGACGTCGGCGGCGCGGGGAGGGCGGGACTTCCGGCCGCGGGTGTCAGTCATCCGCCAACAGCCCCCGCGCCCTTTCCGGTCGGTCGCCGCACCGGGGGCGAAAATCGGGCTCTGAGGTACCCGGGGGAACTACAAAGATGGCGGAAAGGGCACTTCCGGTGCCGGCTCCCCACACTTCCTGTTCCGGCCGCCCAGCCCCATGGGAAATGTAGTTTCCGGGACGCTAAACGGAGCCTCAGAGCCAAGGGAGAGGGCACTTCTGGTGCAGTTCCCAATGCTTCCTGTGCCAGCCACAAGGCCTCACGGGAAATGTAGTCTCGGGGATCCGAAACGGCACCTCAGACCCCAAAATAAAGGCACTTCCGGTGTCGGCTCCCCATAGTTCCTTCCCGGCCGCCAAGCCCCATGGGACATGTAGTTTCCTAGACACGGAACGGAGCCTCAGAGCCCGAGGATAAGGCACTTCCGGTGCAGACCCTCATCATTTCCTGTCCCGGCCGCCGAGCCCCATGGGAAATGTAGTCCCGCCCTCCCGCCCTCAATCACGGCCGTGGCCATGGCTCCCGCGCTCCTGTTTCTCTTCGCGTTCGCGCTGCTCGGAGGCCTCGGCCGGGCCCAGGGTGAGCGGGGTCGGGGGTCGGGAGTCACGGCGGGGTCGGGGGTCACGGCGGGGTCGGGGGTCACGGCGGGGTCGGGGGGGGTCGCGGCGGGTGCGGGTTTTTCGCGTGGGGCCGCTGCGGGCGCAGAGGAGTCCGCGCTGCCTCCTCCTCCTCCTCCTCCTCCTCCTCCGCACTCGCCGTCAATCCCCGGCCGCAGCTCCCACCGCCGCGGCGCGCGCGCGGGGCACGCTGGGAAGTTTCGTTCCCTCCGAGATTTTTTTTTGTTTTTTTTTTTTTGTTTTGTTTTGTTTTGTTTAATTTTTTTTGGAATTTCTTTTTTTTTTTATTTTTAAAACTTTTCGGGCGCGGCTCCCAGCGTCCCGCGCGCCACGCCCACCCTCGCCCCACGTGATTCGGACCTGGGGTCCCCCCTCCCCCGCCGCCGCGCCCCTCCCGTCCCCTCCCACTCGGGACCCCGATTACCCGATCCGTTATCGCGAAGTCAATCAACAAACCTGGGGCGTCGGCCGGGGATCCCCCAGCTCGCGCGTGGGGGCGGGGCGGGGTCACGTGACGCCGGTGACTCAGGCCCGGGTGCGGCTCTGGGCGTCGGCGGCGGGAAAAAATGAGTCACGGGTTGTGAAACTTTTAAATTTTTATTAATTTTTTAATTTTTTGTTTTTTGTTTTTTCCTCAGATTTCGACCTCTCGGACGCGCTCGACGGTGAGTGGGGGGCTGGGCGGACCGCTGCTTCCCGCCAAATAAGTCGGGGAATTCCGACCTTAAAAATAAATAAATATTAATATTATATAATAAATAAATATTAAATAAATGATATTAATTTAAAATAATTGGCAAATTTACATTTTAGGGAAAAAAAGGAAAATGAAGAAATGAAATATTTACCGGGGTGCGGGGGGCAAAAATGAAATTTTCATCCTAAAAATCGCAGACGTCCACTCTTAAAAAAAAAAATGAAAAAAAAAATGAAGAAATTCGGCAAATTTCAATTTTTAGGGGGAAAAAAAGAAGAAATGAATTTTTTAGGGGGAGGCAAAAATGAATTTTTTATTATTCATCTATTTTTTTCGAATAAATCCTAATTTTTAATAAAATTCCCCCCCCCCCCAGAACCGAAGAAGCCGACGGCGCCGCCCAAGAAGCCTCCACAGTCGGGTGAGGTCGTGGGGGGGGGAAACTGAGGCAGGGGCAGCAGTGGAGGCGGGAGCTGGCCCCGCCCCCTCCCTCCCTCCCTTCCCGTTAGCTTAGGCTAGACCCTCCCCCCTCCCCCGCAGGCGGAGACCTGGACCTGAGCGATGCCCTGGGAGGCGGAGATGGTGAGGCCGCCGGGGGTGCTGGGTGCTGAGTCCTGCGTACTCGGTCCTGGGTGATCTGGGTGCTGGGTCCTAGGTGCTGAGTGCTGGGTGATCCAGGTGCTGGGTTATCTGGGTGCTGAGTGCTTGGTGATCTAGGTGCTGGGTGCTGAGTCCTGGGTGCTGAGTGCTGGGTCCTAGGTGCTGAGTCCTGAGTGCTGAGTCCTGGGTGCTGAGTGCTGGTTCCTAGGTGCTCAGTGCTGGGTGATCCAGGTGCTGGGTTATCTGGGTGCTTGGTGATCTAGGTGCTGGGTGCTGAGTCCTGGGTACTGGGTCCTGGGTGCTAGGTGCTGAGTCCTGGGTGCTGAGTGCTGGGTCCTAGGTGCTGAGTCCTAGGTGCTGAGTGCTGGGTCCTAGGTGCTGGGTGCTGGCTGATCTGAGTGCTGAGTCCTAGGTGCTGAGTGCTGAGTTCTCCTGGGTGCTGAGTGACCCGGGATCTGTGGCTGCAGGGGCGGGGGAAGGAAACCCCGCGGCCCCGGGGCATCATGGGAAATCTCCGCCCGCCCCCCCGCAGACCCCGCCCCCCCACCGCCCAGGCCGAGGCCCAAGCCGGATAGGGAGTCCCAGCCATCAGGAGGTAGGGGGCGGGGCCATGCAGATTTATGTTAATGAGGGGTGGGGCGTGCATATTTATGTTGATGAAGGGTGGGGCCTGCAGATCTATGCTAACGAGGGGGCGGGACGTGTGCCAAAAGTCCTTTGTGCGTCCGGTCCACGGGATGCTAATTTATGCTAATGATCGAGTTTGTGGTGGGCGGGGATAATGAGGTCGTATGCTAATTGGTGGTTGGGGCCAGTGCTGGAGTATGCTAATTGGCTTCTCTGCATGCTAATGAGCTCCCTTTTCTGTGTTGCCTGAGATGCTAATTTATGATAATGAGGCACTTCCCGTTAGGCGTGGTGGGCGGGGCCAACGGTGGCGTATGCTAATTAGGTCCTTGCATGCTAATGAGCTTTCTGCGCATTGTCACTGAGATGCTAATTTATGCTAACGACCCCAAAACTCGGGCTTTGCAGGGTGTACGCAAATGTATGCTAATGATCATGCTAACGAGCACGAACCCCGCTAATGACCGGGTATGTAAATGCATGCTAATGAGGACGCAGCACGTGCTCACAGGGGCGTGGCGGTTTATGTAGATGTATGCTAATGAGGGCAAGGGAATGTCTAGCAGGCGCATGCTAATTAGGCCTGGCGTATGCAAATCAGCCGAATCAGGCATTGTTTGGCCTTATGCTAATGCATGCAAATGAACCCAGAAAGACATAATTTGCGTACGCAAATAGGTGTTGACTTCACTTGCATTTTATGCAGATGCATGCTAATGAGCACCTGTCATGCTAATTTATGCAGATCGGGACAAGCCTTTGCTCCATATGCTAATCCATGCTAATGAGCCCCTGTCATGCTATTCCATGCTAATTTTATGCAAATCCGGCCCCTCCCAGGCGACTTCTCCAACACGGACCTGGAAGACGTTGCTGGGGACAGAGGTGAGGTCCCGCCCCCTGTGATGTCATAGCTCCGCACCTGTGATGTCATAGTACCGCCCGTGATGTCGTCAATCTGTGATGTCATAGCCCTGCTCCGGTGATGTCATAGCTCTGCCCCCACGATGCCACGGTCCCGCCCACGGCGATGTCATCGTCCCCGTGATTTCATAGCTCCACCCATAGTGATGTCACCTTCCCCCATATCGTCATAGCTCCGCCCCCGTGGTGTCACAGCCACGCCCCCTGGCTGGTGATGACATCGTCGTCGCGCTGGCCCCGCCCCCTGATGCCATTGTTTCCCCCCCTCCAGGTGGAGGCAAAGGAACCCGGGGAGAGGAGCCTGAGGCGGACCGTGAGGACTCAGCGCAGCACCCGGGGGGGAGGAAGACTTAGCATAGCACCCTGGGGATGAGAGAACTCAGTGCAGCACCCATGGGAGGGGAGAAAACTCAGCGTAGCACCCGGGGGAAGGGAAAGACTTAGCACAGCAACCGAGAGGACTCAGCGCAGTACCCAGGGAGGGGAGGACTCAGCGCAGCACCCATGAAAAGGAGGACTCAGCGCAGTACCCAGGGAGGGGAGGACTCAGCGCAGCACCCGGGGAGTACCGAGCACAGCACCCGCCCCCCACCCCCCCTCCCCGCAGACCCCGCCCCCCAGGGCCTGGTCCCCGGCCTCATCGGGGCCGCGGTGGCCGCGGTCGCAGGCGCCGTCTCCAGCTTCGTCGCCTACCAGAAGAAGAAGCTGTGCTTCCAGGAGCGCGGTGGGTGCGGGGCGGGGCTTCCGGGGTCAGGGGCGGGGCTTCCGAGGTCACGGGCGGGGTTTCTGGGGACGAGGGGCGTGGCTGAGCGAGGGGCGTGGGGCGGGGCTTCCGGGGACGTGGGGCGGGGCTTCCGGGGCAGGGGGAGGGCGGGGCTTCCTTGTGGGTGGGGCTTCCGGGGAGGGGCGGGGCTGAGGGGTGAACGAGGGGGTGGGGCCTCCTCTGTCCCCGCCCCCGCTGACGCATCACTTCCTGCCCCCAGGCTCCGCCCCCGTCTAGGGGGCCCCAAAGATGACGACGTCATCACCGAACTCCTACGCAGCCGCCGGTACCCTGTAGCCCAGGCTGGACTGGAGGAAAAGAAACGTAGCCCAGGCTCGAACCCAAGGCCCTCGCTCGCCGCTGCTGCCCTCAGCCAAAGCCCCGCCCCCATCCATCCGTCGGCCAATCGCAGACACGGTCGCAGGGCTCGTTTGCATACGCAAATGAACGCCCCCGGAGCGGGGAGGGGGGATTTTTTTTTTGTTCTTTTATAGATCTCCAATTTTTTTTTTTTTCATTTCCGACTTTTATTTTAGTGGGGGGTTTGGGGGTGGAGGGGAAAAACTCGGGGATTTGTTTTTATTTTTATTTATTTTTATAAAAAAAAAATTGGTTTTTTTTTGCCCAAAAAATTTTTGGCGGGATTTCGGATTGTTTTCACCCCCCCAAAAAAAAAAAAGAAAAAGAAATAAAATTAATTTTTTAAGTTTTTAGTTAATTTGAAAATTTTGTTTTATTTTTATTTATTTTTTTTTAACAAAAATTTGTGGGTTTTTTTGCCCAAAAATTCTTGGTGGATTTCGGATTGTTTTCACACCCCCCCCCCAAAAAAAAATAAATAAAATTAATTTTTTTAAAATTTTAATTAATTTGGAAATTTCTATTTTTAGATTTTTTTTTCTTAAGTTTTTTTTTTTTTTTTGGCGTCGTTAGCCCAGGCTGGACCCCAGGGCGCCTGCGACGTCACCGCCACCGTGCCAAGTGCCTTGACCCCCGCGTGACCCCCGGCGGTGCTGACGCCGCCTCTCGAACCCGGGACCTCACCCGGGCGCCATCATAATAAACGCTGCTGCTGCTTGAACCCCAACCCTCGGTGTCGGCCTGTCAATCAATCGCGGGGCGGGGCCCGGGGTGGGCGGGGCTTGGCGACATCACGGGCGCAGTGGCAGTCATCCCCCTGCGGTAGCTCCAGGCTAAGAGAAAAAAAATTTCTAAATTCCAAAACGGTCATCCCCCTGCCGCACCTCCGAGCTGGGAAAAAAATTTCTAAATTCCAAAACGGTCATCCCCCTGCCGCAGCTCCGAGCCGAAAAAAAAAATAAAAATTTAACTTTCAAAACGGTCATCCCCCTGCCGCAGCTCCGAGCCGAAAAAAAAAATAAAAATTTAACTTTCAAAACGGTCATCCCCTTGCCGCAGCTCGCTCGGGACCCGGGTCCGAACCCCGGCTGACGCCGCCGCGGGGCATCCTGGGAGGAGCCGCCGCACCCGACCGGTCCGACCGGGAGAACCGAGTCCCAGCACCCGCCCGCCCGGAGGCCCCGCCCACCCCGGAAAGTCCCCGTCCCCCGCCGCCCGGGCCTCAGTTTCCCCCGCGGATCCGGCGATGGCGGCGGCGCCGCTGCTGCTCCTGGCGCTGGCGCTGCTGCTGGCGTCGCCCCGGGCAACGCGCGTGCGCGGTGAGGGGGCGCGGTGACGTCACGGGAGGGCGGGGCCTCCGGGCGAGGGAAAAAAAACCCGAAAAATCCGGATTTTTCCGGATTTTTTTTTCTTTTTAAATAAAAAAATTCGAGGTTTTTTTTTTTTTTTAGGATTCCGCGGGGGATTCTGGGAAATCTCGCGGGGTTTCGGGGTCGCGCGGGGAAAAAAAAACCGGAAAAATTTGAAAAATTAATTAATTTATGATTTTATTAAATTTTTCTAAAATAAAAGTCTCACGGGATTAAAATTATTATTTTTTAATTAAAAACATCCGGGTTCTTGGCGCCCATCCGGGTTTTTTTGTTGTTGTTCCCGCGGGTTCGGGGCCAGGGCGGGAGACGAAGGGGGAAAAGAAAATCGTTAAAAATTTAATTTAGAAAAATTAATTAAATTTAATTTAATTAGAAAAATTAATTTAATTAAATTTAATTAAAAA